TAATTGGAACATCCGCTGCCAAATGTGCACAATGATTCCAGATTCGTTTGCTTGTAGCAGAGGGGACAGAGCTTCTGCTAACACTGGTCTGTGCTTTTGACACTTAGGTTGGCAAGTCTTGTCCAGGAGGTGGTCATTCTGAGGAGCTGCTCTTCTGACGATGTGGATGAAGTCTCAGTACCTCAGGTCCATGAGCTCTGACTGCTGGGCAGTCAATGCAGCTCAGAGTCTTCACGCAGAATACATAAGGTTATTCCCCATTTTACAAGTTTTTGCCAGCGCAGCTTTGGGGAAATCCACCTACTGCTGAATGTGATTCACAAAATACAAAATACGTCTGGCAACTGTGTTTGAGACACACAATTCTTTATAACTTCTGGAGCCATTAAAACCTTTTAAGAATGAAGAAGAGGTTTTCTTACATTGTTTTCTGTGAAGAACAAACTTAAATACCTTTTACGCTGACTTGCAAGGAAAAGTAGCACTGTCATCAATGACTTTGTAATCCACAAAGAGCAGATCTGACCCACGGGAATCGGTCCTGTTGAATATCATCTACCTTTAGTGACTGCAGGGCTAAAATAGTGAACAGTCCTCTGAAAGGAAGGGATGTAATACAGATTTATGCATGTGTATAATCCTGTTTTTAGACAAAAATGTTAATTAAAAAAATTTCAAAGCTAGAAGAAACAAAATTTTTTTCTTTTTAGTTCTACATAGGCTAATTAAATATTGCAAGTAGAACAGTAGTTTCCACATGAAATGTGCCAAGTTGAAGATGTCAGTATTCCTGGGTATTCAATGAATTAACAGAATCTTATGAAAAGTACTGATTGGAGTTTCAAAACTGTGTGAAATATCAAAACGCTTCATGTGCCCTTTGAAATAATTAAGTCCACTGTTTACTCCTTAGATTTTTCAGAAGATTCATAAATGTAAGAAAGGACATTTATGTATAAGTTTAAGTGGCGCTCTGTCAAAAGGTTTGGTGAATATTTTTGTCCCTAAACAATGCAGTGAAATAGAACCTACACCCAAGTGAGCAGCCTCACGGCAGAGTTCATTTTTCTCTAGGCGTTTCAGCTTGGTCTCAAGTTGCAATTTCATTTTGCAGCTATGATCGTTAGAACTGGTGTTCCACACAGGATCGTGTCAACTTTCACGGAAACAGGCGATGGAAAGGAGAAGCGAAGCTGTGCTGCTGAAGGGAGTGGCAGTACATCCTCGCAGAAGAATCCGTTTTTTAACTAGTAACTTCTCTCTGCTCACTTGTAACAACTGGGGGCCAACTTGAAATTGCCTCTGATTACGCACTTCACCAACGGCGTCCCTGCCGGCGGAGCCGAGTGAAAGTCCCGTGCTTATTTAGCTTCCACAAGATACGGAGAGCAAAGTAAGTATAATCCTATGGACATGAAATTTTAGACAACCCCTCATTTCAGACCGCCAGAAAAAAACATTTCTTAGACCTCTTTTAGGGAGGAACAATTTCAAAAAAAACACTCCTTATTCTTCTTTAAAGGATCACGGGACAACAAGCAACGGCTTTTTAGCATTTACGATGCGTGACAACCCAGAGGGAAGGGGGTGTGGCACCTGCATCCAGCTCCCAGGTTTCCGCCCTTCACAGCTGGGTGTCGGTGAACGTGGTGTGTTCCTTAGTCACGGAGCTGAAACCCTTAATGGCGTTCATCAAGTCCTCTTCATCCACATACTGAAAAAGACGCCGATCATCGCTGGTTAGGATGTTTGCTTGGCAACAGTGTTACGTAAAAAGTATGCAGTATTTTGTTAAAGGCTAACATTCTATGCTCAATACTATAAGGTGTGGTTGAGACCATCCTTGCCTTTCCTTATGGGAAGGATCATGTCCACAGGCATACATGAATTACAGACGAGTGCAAAATATGTCATTCGAGTGTTACGTTGTGCCGTATCTTAACCTTTCTAAGCCTCAGTTTGCTCATCTGTAAAGTGGAGAGATTATATATATATATACACACATACACACACACACAGTGCATGTATACACATATATATGAGATTTAGTTCAAAATTCAAGCAGAAGAGCCAGAATGCAAGCTGTTGTGCTCCCAGCTTCCTACTCTCTTACTGTATCTTGTATTTATTGAATAGAGCAAGTAATGTTGATTATAATGTTACAACGAACAGATGATCTGCCAAATATTGGAAGATCATCTGCCAAGTATTGGCATCTTCAATAGCTTTCACGGAATCACTCTGCATCCTGCTGATTACCAGCACTGTCAAAGGTGAAAATGGCAGTACAGTGTAACAGTGAAGACGCGGGGCTCTGTAATCAGACGATGTTTTTAAGATCCCAGTTTCACGAAGAAATTACTTATTAGCTGTGTGTCCTTGGGTGAGGGCACACATGCATCTAAGCCCTCAATGTATTACGTTGAACCATACAAAATTGCCATTTTGCATGTCAAATATGATCAAGGAACAGTTCTCTGTGTTTCAACCTAATAAAATTATTGCAGACATTTGGAAACTTTAGAGCTGAAATGGAATCACGGTGTTCCACAGTCACAACAACTTCAGGCAGGCCCATGATTTTCAGATGCTTATTATATATCCTCATTCTGAACAAGCCAGGAGGACTGTGCATTTTACTTTATTTTTTTTACTGTGATTGGAAACTGGAGCTGGGGGAAACTTGCTGTATTACTTGCCCTTGGTTAAGAAAGGCTTCATGGAAGTTGTCAACTCTGCAGCAAAGGAAAAGTGAGAACCTGGGACAGAGGGAGGAGTGAGGGTCCACGTGCAGAAGCAAGTGGTTGACAGGAATGGAGGGGACGTCTCCTGCCTAAGGAGTAAGCACAGGGGCGAAAGCTCTTGGCTGGCCATCTGTTTAGCATCCCATGTCCCAATGGATGGCCCCCCCGCAGACCTCTAGGTAGCCGTCACAGGGAAGTGTGATGGGTGCTAAAAACTTGAAGATTTTATTCATTTCGGCCACTAAGGGGCTCAAAACAAATACTAGACAATGAAGAGGTTAACTTTCAGTGAGTCAATTATTTGTACCTCCTGGACTGAAATTATGAAAAATGTAGTTCATAAATAGTAATGCCCTGATTTATCATGGTTTTCTGAGTTTCTTAGAAAGGAACTATTGATCCTACTGAGAGACTCTTTCTCTCTTCTCACCATAAACCAGAAGGAAAATGCACTTCCTTTTTTTTTCCTCCCTTTAGTAAAACAGGTGCTTGTACTTCATGCCTCCTTTAGGCCAGCTCCAATGTTGCCCATCACTTTCTGCCCAAGTTAATAAAGTACAGCCTGTTTCTCTTCACTTACTCATGAATTTATTTTTTGAGCATCTACCGGGTGCCTTGAGAACAAGATAAGAGTTTCTACACTGCTCATCAAGCAACTGAAGTGACCCTAGTAGCCAGGTCGTTAAAAAAATAACTGGTTAGTGGTCAGAGGGGTGCGCTGAGTGCCGTGGGGTCACCATTCAGTGAGAAGAGGAAGTTTCCACGCCATCTCTTTATCAGTACGCTTCTGGGGAGCCTAGCTAAGGTTCTGGGTGAGGAAATCGACTCACCAGTCCACTGTCATGGCCCAGGACGGTTTCCCAGAGTGAGTCGTCAATCAAGGCCTTCTTATCTGGAACGTCCAGGAGCTGGCTGACACTGCGCGGGAGAGCGCCTCCGGAGCAGGGCTGGCTGACCGGGTTCTGGCTTGGGATGCGCAGTACAGAGAGGCTGCGGTTGCTCCTCATACTCACAGGGGTCCCAGACCGGGGGATTTTGGTATCGGCCAAGCCCTGGAAAGAAAGTTGCTGTTGATGATTAAGGTCTAAAGAAAATGGGCTTGAAGTAGCATAGAAAATCGTGTGTCCCACACTGTCAACGAAGGGAACCCTGTCCCCATATCCCCGTATGACACTTAGCTCATCTGGAATGCTGTGGACCCCAGCCTCCTGGGAAGGGTGAGACAGGAAGCGAATGGTCACGTTAGACGGCCAGGAGCCCCCGTACTGGCGCTCCGGCTACTGATCTCGTGGCCAAGGGCTGCTGCGCCACCAAGCAGCCGAGTGGCGGGGGGGGGGGGCGCTTAGCAAGGTGATCTCTTCCCAGGGGTCAGCACAGAGCCTCCTTGTGAGAACATCCCTTTCCCAGAGTCAACAGCCACCCACGAAGGTGGTCCCCCGCAAAGTGAGCGTGCTGTATTTCCCTCCAAAATTCCTGGATCTGTGTCAGGAAACTCCCTTCTCCCCTTTCTCTTTTCTCATTCCACGTTGTTCTCTGGGCTACAGGACTCCAGCCTCCCAAAGAGGAGACATAAAGACACGGAAAGACAAAGGCTCTCTGTGGTCAGGCGCTAGAACGTGCCGTTAGGACACGCGGCTGCTCTAAGCGACCGAGGGCCCTGATGTAGCTGACTTAACCCATCAGCAAAGAAGAGGTCTGCCCTTCCCCATGCAGGTGATGCCCCATGCACAGCTCATGCGTTTGTTGAGCACACAGCAGTACCTCAAAGTGCATGGTGTAACTTTTTAGGGTAACATTGCTGGACACGTCAGATACATCAGCCACAGAGTCAGACTGGAAGCAGAATGGAACATCAGTCAGTGTTTGGAACATCTGAAAACAAATTCTCTGTGTTTCTCCAAGGACAGCATAATCTTACCCACACATTAACACTATCCAGAGATGCATTTTTATATATGTGAAGTCTTCTGCAATTTAAACATCACGGTGAGTAGAAACTAATTGCTTAGTGTCAAGGTGACACTGCATTATTTGTTTTGTATTGCAGGGAATGAAAGGATCTTCAAGCCAGTAATTACTTGACAATTGTCCCTCAGCATCCAAACAGGATTGGTCCCAGGATTCCCCCCACAGGTACCAATCTGAGGATGCTCAAGTCCCATAGTCAGCCCTCTGTATCTGCTGGTGTGGAACCTGCTGATAGGTAGGGCTGATTGTACAAGTAAGACCTGCACTTAAACTTCAGTGGATTAAATGTATGCTGTGTGATCTTGAAAATGTTAACGAACTTCAAGTTAAAAAATACAAAATGCGCTCTCATTCTCTGGCTCCTTGTCCCATTTTGCTCTGTTCAGAGTGGAGCCTAAAGTCCTTTTGCCAATTTGCCTCTGATACCAAAGAGCATCTTACTATTCAGAGGACAGGGGTGCCTGCGACAGGGTTATAGCAGCACTGAAACCAACCAGGGCTTGTCAGATGGAGGGGTGTGTGTGTGTGTGTGTGTGTGTGTGTGTGTGTGTGTGTGTGTGTGTGACGAGGTAGCGTAGCGCGTGTACGTCGACTACGAAGAACGAAAGGTGTCGTACGTACGGTCGGTACGGGAACTCGTAGTCGACTGGACGCGGTCCGTTTCCCGGT